GGCGTCGGCGTCGGCGTCGGTGTCGGCGTCGTGGTGGTCATCGTCGTCGTCGTCGTCGTCGTCCCTGCCAACCATCTGTGGGAGGGGGCGCTGTGGAACCGTGGGGCCCAGCCCGATGGGGGTGTGTGGGCCCTCGACCCAGGATCATATATGCCCTCTCTGAGGGCGTTCGCGGGCAGGCTGCTGGCGCTAAGGAACGCTGGCCCCTTGGGGACGGGGATCGGTCCGACGATGCTGAGTTTCCCCCAGGATTCCTTTCCTTCCCGGCAAAGGTCTCCCGAAGGTGCGCCGTGAATTTTGTGGATTCGGCTGCTTCGCAGTCTGCTGCATTCGGTCGATTCGGTTTGGTCGGTTGCTGCGCCGCTGCGCCCTTTGAGGTTGCCTTCGCTTCGTTGCTTTCGGTTTTGCTGTAGGTCTGGTTGGTTATCGATTCTAGCGTCGCCGTAAGGCCCAGCTCTCCCGAGTGCTCGCTGTCAATTCGCTCGGCCAAGGCATGAGGCGTGTTCGGAGGTGACGAGGTGCATGTCTTCCTGCTAATTCTGCCTTCCGCCTGGCGCACTGTTTCTGTTTGCCCTCGGCCTCCCTGCGTCGCCGCCGCCGGGCGCGGTTTCAAGCATGGGCCAGGAGGGTGCCTTGGTGGGTGTCGGAACGGATCCGCACTGGACGCTGGCTGCGACGGAAGCAGATGCGCGGAGCTGCGACTGTGCTGCCCAGACGTGCGGAATTGCGCTTGAGCTGCGCCTGTGCTGCCCAGCGCTTCCATGAGCCAAGCCGCTTCCGGGTGGACCCCACACCTCTCCTGCACGGCCGCAGGTCCGGCCTCCCTCACTGGGGCCAAAGGGGGGCCCTCAAGGAACCGAAGCTGCTCAGATCTCCGTCAGTCGGAGGTTGATAGATCTCCTACCCTGACACGTCGATTAGCGAATCTGCGGTTTTCGGTTCGCGAGAGGGCGTCGCGGCTGTCATTTTTGCGGGTCCAGGTCCGTCGGTTTCGGTCCCAGGCTGTTTTCACTAAAGGGTGGTTTACTAAAGGGAGGTTTGTCCACCGCCGAGTCAGAGCATCTGCCGTGGCACCTCGAGGTCTGGGCTGGCCGATCTGCTTCGCTGCGCATCAGTCCCCGGGCCGCTTCCGGACACTTTCCCGACCATCCTTTCGAGCTGCGTCCAGCCGAGGCCAGGAGGGGCCCCCAGGGCACCCCCAAAGAGGCGAAGAGAAAGGCGACTTCCTTCCTCCAGAGGTCTGTGCTCTCAGCCTCCCCTGAGGCAAAGCGGCGGACGACGACGACCGACGACGGCCGACGGACGACCCTGAAATCCGCCGATCTGATTTTTTCAGTCCGCGGCCCCGGAGTTCCCGACCCCGCCTCTGGGTAGCGTTTTGTCTCAGACCCGTGCTTGCTGGCCCCAGGGCCCGATCAACGGGCGCTTTTAAATCGCTGCTTCTGCGGGGAGACCACTTGCCGTTTGCGGTCGTGTTTTGGGCTGCGGCCGCAGCGTCGGGCGACGGCAGGCAGCGGGCAGTGTGGAGCAGCGGCGACATGTGGTGCAGTGGCAGGGCGGACCGTGGCCTGGAGCCTCCAGGGCGCGTGCGCCGCTGACAGCCTGGTGCGGTCCGCGCGCCAGGGTGTGCGTGGGGGCGTGCCCCCTTCGGGGCGCAGACGAACGAACGAGCGACGACGACGACGACGACGAACGAAACAGACGAACGAAACTAACGAACCAGACCAACGAACAAGCGGCGACGACGACGACGAGCGAAACGAATCGAACGAACGACGACGGACGACGGACGACGGACTACGGACGGCCACGGACGGCGACCTCGGCCCGCCCCCGACAGGTGGACGACTGCGACGAGGCCCGCACCGCCGAAGCCCTGGTGCGCGAGCGCCTGCTGCAGCCAGCCTCGTGCGACGAGCTGGACGCCTGCGGCGCGCGCGCCGCCAGGGGCAGCTCTCGGGGCAAAGTGAGGAGGGGAGCGTTTCGGAGTCGAGGCTCGAGGTGTCCGGGCGTTCCGTCGGTTCTCGGCGGTTGTCCAGCCTCGGGATGCTCTCCAGGAGCTGCGCCTCGCCGACGGCATTCTGGGGATGCCCGGATCGTCCTGAACGGCCGCCGGAGGCCCGAGCGATAGCCCCATAACCACGAGGGTCGCACCTAGGTCTTCCAGAGTCGGGCGACGAGAACTATGCATGTCCACTGGCCCGGAGCCGTGGGTGTGGAAACATCTCGTCGCCCTGAGCAGAGGATGGGAGATAACCACGCTCAGCGCGTCTGCGGCCTCGGCCGCTGAGCTGCCCTTCTCCAGCGCGGCGGCGCGGCGGCGCAGAGGCGGCCGCGCGTCGCGCGCCGCAGGCCGCGGCGCGCGAAGCTGGGGGGCCTGGTCCGATGGGTGTGTTGTCGCCCCCTCCCTCTGCAATGGTCCCGCTTAGAACCACTGCCCTGATAGCAATCCTTGATGATGCTACTCTCTTCTCTGCTCTGACCACGTGTCGAGGGTACCGTTGGCGGTCGGGTCGAATATGAGGGCAGTGACTGTGCGATGCTGATCGCACTGTGGTGATGAACAGGATCTGTTTATCAGCGGGCAGTTCGCTGTCCTGCGTCTCTCGGACGCACACCAGAAGTCCAGCGTCGCTGAGACGCTGCAAAGGCTTGAGCCAGAACGGTTTCGGATGAACCTGTTCTGGGATATTATAATGGGGATCTCGGAGGATCTCGGAGGGCCTACTAAGCAAGGCTGGCTGCAACCTGGAGGCTAAAGGGGGCCCGATTCGCCGGGAAACGCTTGGCTAACATACATGGGGCTCCTTTGGAACCTGAAGCTTATATCACGCACGGCCTCTAGAGGCCATCTGTCGTAAGTAGGCTCTAGTGAGGCAGGCTCGGGGCTGTGAATTGCATGCCCAAAAGCTAAAGATCGATGTTACGGCATCGAGACCTGCCTCTGGCAACTGAATTCACAGAAAGCACAGAGCGCGTGAGAGGCTTCACAGTGCCCCAAAGGGCTATATCTCCGACAGGGGTCTTCTGATCGTAGGGATTGTCGCGAGCGAAGTAGATCAGGGCCTCCAGCATAGCTTCATCGTCATCTGCTGATAACGGCTTGCCGTGGTCCAGCCTGTCCATGCCCTCGGTCTTGCGCTTCCTAGCACTGCGGTGCAGGGGGTCGTCCACGAGTCTCCAGCGCTGACCTGACCGGAAGAACTCCAGCAAGACCTTGGCGGCTCGATCCTTGGTGAGGCCGTCGGCTAGCATGGCATCGCTGTGGACCCAGCGTATCTGGAGGGCCGTCTGCTCCTTCTGCTGTCGAATGCCTAGACACTCGATACTCGTCCGCTTATCGCGTAGGCCGAGACCAGCTGATTCGCTCTTCTCGATCGCGTCGTAGCCCGACTTACCGTCTGTGACCAGTACGCCAGGGCAGGATGAGATGGCGTCGTTCACGTGTTGCTTGTTGGTGTAGTCCACTTGGCCGCACTCCAGCTCGTAGATGAACAGGCGCACGTAGCTGATCTCGTCGAGGGTCTCTGTCATCATCTGAACCTCCGCACTCGTACTGCTTCTGGCCACTCGCGGTAGTTTGCATGATCTCCATGAGATAGGCGCTACCGTCTCTGTCGAGCCACTCAGGAAAGACAGTGGTGCCAGCACGATCATCTCGCCACCCTGGGACTCGCCAGTGATACGAGCGGCCCAGGCAGCATCGCCCCAGCCAACCACAGCGATCTGCTCGATGGCCGGGATGAGCATGACCACGTCGGCAGTGTCATTCATGGTGCGGATCAGCTTGTTGATCTTCTGGATGGTAGAGACCGTCGCCGTAGGTATCTCCGCTTGAAGTAGAGAGACTTCTGCACTGAGCCACGGGGCCGACTGCTGAGCTCGCCATCCGACTGTACCAAGTCGGCCTCGTAGATCTGATCTCTCTTTGTCTGAAACTCCTTCCGTGGGCTTGCGTCCACGTCGTATCTTGATGGGCTCCACGTTCAGGCTGTAGCTGTCCTGTGCGAGACTGCAGGTGTAGTCCTCATTCTGTCGAATACTGATGCCGCACTGCACAAACGCTCGGCTCTCCCAAGGTGTCCACTCGAAGGCCTGTTGTATCTTCTGTCGTTTCTTGAGGAAGGCCGAGTTGTGATGGTCGCCTGCGATCATCATGTCGTCGACGTGTAGGATAACCATGCCGACCAGCTTCGTGCCGTCTCGAATGACCCAGACGCACGGCTCGCACTGTATCACCTCCAGCTGCAGCGTCTTGAGCGTGTCCTTGAAATGGAGCCACCATTTGCGAGGAGCATGTACAAATCCGTACATAGGCTTGAGGAACTGCAGGACCTCGTCGTCTTTCATGCCGAAGGCCTGACGCACGTCCTTAGGCGGGTCCGCGTAGATCTTCCTCTTCTCCTCGTCCGTCTCGCCCTGGAGGAAGGCTGTCACTGCATCGGCCTTCTCCAGTTTCCACTTGTGTCTAGCTGCCATGGCCAGTAGAAGTTGACGTGCACGTCTGGAGGCAACTGGTGATTCTGTCCGCAGGTGCAGCAGGTCGGGGTCGCTGAAGCCGAGCACGACCAGTCTGGCTTTGCCTCGTAGCACGTTCCCCTGGTCATCCTTCTTCCAGGTCAGCACGAAGCGGCAGCGCAGCAGGCGCGCCGGGTCGATCCCCTGTCGGCTGAGGATCCTGACGGCCTTCGTGCTGAGGACTGAGGTGCACTCCTTCTGCTGGGCCTCGAGTAGCAGCTTCTTCTCCTCAGGCGTCGCCTTCTTAAATGAGACCTCCACTCGGCCCTTGCGGGCCTGCGATGCCACGAAGTTGCTGGGGTCGTCCATGTAGGCCATGAACGCATGCTCGTTGCTGACAGGGATGTCCAGCACGATGAGTTCGTCGTTCTCCTTCATATCGTCGTACTGCTGGACACTGTAGGCATAGTCGCTGTAGAAGTTACCCTCCTGCAGGTAGTAGGAGAAGGCCTCCTGGGTCGCAGCGTTGACCCGCTGCTTCTTAGCCGGGGGCTCGGTTGTGCCGGGCTCTCGGATCCGGCGCTTATCGTTCACGTCGGGCGCTGAGATATCGTCGAGGTCATCGTCAGTCTCCGCCACGATGGGCCGCTGCGACGCGCGCTCCTCCTGGTCGTCGCCGGGAGGGGCTTCCATGACGATCTCCTCCTCGATGGGCTGCTCAGCTGCTTCGGGTAGTCCAGCTTCGTGGCCGTCTTCCTGTGGAATGCCTGGTGGAACTTCTGGCTGAGCTGGCTGGATGAGAGGTTCCTGGACCTCGGTCGCCTCGTTCCAGGGATTACCCTTCTTCCTCATACGTCTGGGAGGTCGCGGTCCAGGTAGAGGTCGCTCTTCCAGTCCTGGTGGCGCCGCCAAGGCTCCACCACCTCCGCCGCCTCCGCCTCCTCCTGGGTCAAGACTACGAGGGTCTCCTTGTGGAACAGGACGATCATCGTCCTCAGAAATGGCCCAGGGTCCGCTTGCGTTGCTCTCGAAGGTGCGGGCGCTGACCGATTCACCGTCATCAGCGGCCAAATCCTCGCCAGTAGGCGGGGACTCATTCGACAAGTCGATCACTTCGTTAGTGTCGAGCTGCTTCTGGACATCGCCGAAGGTCCAGGTCCCCGGCTGCTCGCGGCGCGAGCGTAGGGAGTCCATCGCCTCCTCAGAAGGCGTGGCAGGTCGAAGTTGTTCGGGAGCAACTCGGTAGAGGCGGCCAGCCAGTGTGATATTGACCACCGTCCCAGGTAGACCAGGTCGGTGTCCCGAGCTCGCTGGCTCGTGACAAAGTACTCGTCCAGGTCCGTACCAGCGTCCTCGCCCAGGCATTGAGCGAGGCTGTCCCTTCTTGCGCCAGGCCCCTGGTGGGAGCCGTCTGTAGACGAAAACTAGATCGCCCGTCTCGTACTTCTTGAAGGACCTGAAGCGCGCGGCCTCCGCTCGCTTAACTCGGTCAGAGTTCTCGGTCTGGATGTGAGCCAGCCGCGCCATCCGTCGTACCTGGCCGTCCCTGCTGAAGGTACCGTCCTGCAGCTCGGCACTGATGAGCGGCAGGTTGTTCGGCTCGTCCGACAGGTTGACTGTCGTCCCAGTCGGCGTCCGTCCCGCATAGCGCTGCAGCGGGCTGAACCCGTCGATCCTGATCAGGTCGTTCCTGGCCGCTGTCTGGAGTCCGAACATCTCGCTGGTGGGTACTTCGGCTGAGACCATCTCGTCGAAAGCGTCGAGGGCCTCCTTGAAGGCTTCAATGGCACGCTCGATCTTGCCGATCTGCCAGTGGCGTCGGCCGCGCATGGGAGACAGTAGACTCCCTGGCTCTCGATCCACTCGCGGAACTCGTCGGAGATGGCGCTGCCGGCAGGGTCGTAGCGCATGACCTTCGGGCGTCCCATCCAGGGGAACCATTTTGTAGCAAAGATATGCCGAAGGTCGCCGGCACGAACTTGTCGAGTCGTACCCGGGATCGGCTTCTCGTCGATCAGCCGCACGTAGAGGATGTCCGAGCCGGCGTCGATGATCGCCAGCGCCATCACGTTCGTGTTCGTGCTGCGACGGATCCACGAGAAAGCGTCAAATAGCACCTCGTGACCGTTTTGGGGCTGCTCTGCTGATGAGGCTGGTGGCCGCTTAGTAGGTGGTCGATGTGCGTCACAGATGTCGCACTTGAAGGTTCTGGCCAGACGTAGCACCTCTGGTCGAGCGCCACGGTCGCGAAGGTATCGTAGTAGATGAGCTCGAGGTAGGTGTCCGAGGTTGTTATGAACCAATCTGATGTAGCTCTCGAGCTTCTTGACCGTCTCGTTGGTGAGGTTGTGCGCTTCCTTGCCGTCTCGTGGTGGAAGAGTCGGCTCGTCCTCCTCTGGCGTAGGCTCTGCCGGTGGCTGCTGGGTAGCTGCCATGCAGAGGCAGTTCACAACCTCGTCCTCGAAGTAGTTCTGGTTCTGGCTCTTGGTCAGAGCCCTGAGGATCCGGCGGCACAGCATCTTGGGGTAGGAGCCCGAGGCCTCGGTCCTCAAGCTGCTCTCTATCTCCTCGTGGTAGTGTCCTCCACGGCACTGTAGAGGTTGTAGGGCTACCCAGATCCTCCTGTCATTCGTCAGGAACTTCCAGCGCTTCTTCATGAGCTCGCCCGTGTCAGGGGCTCGTAGTCCGCAGGCGCAGCCATCCACGATCACCTCGTACGGTAGGATCTTGTGGAGATCCTTCCAGCAGGTCTTCTGCCACGACCGACTGTTGTGGGGCTGCTCGGCGAGGGCCGAGCCGTTCAGGTTGAGCACCTGGTGCTCGATGAGCCTCTTGTTGTTCTCGAAGATCCGCTGGCTCTTGAGCCGCTTCCTGCGAAGGTTCTCCTTCTGTTGATCGTTGCGCTGGTTGACGTTCTGCATTATCGACCATGGACCGCAGGGTGGTGTACTGACGAAGAGCTCCGGGCGCTTCTCGTCTAGCAGGAACTTCGCCTTGTGGTAGCCCTGCGGCTTGCTGAGGTCGTTCTCGTTGAAGAGGCCGAGCCGCTCGTAGTGGTAGCCCTTCTCGTCGCACACCTTCCCGAGATTCGAGTCCTCGTGGGTGCACGCTTCGACCATCGTCAGGCGGCCGAAGGTTGCGAGGGCGCACATAGCTCCGAAAATGGCCGACCTCGTCGTATGTGTAGCTGCCCGTATCGCCTGGCGCTGGTGGCCCTTCAGCAGCCTGCTCTCGTCGCCGCGCCACCGAGACCTCTCAGCCTGGATCTCACTCAGGCCTTCGTCCTGACCGCACACGCCTGGTGGCACCAACCGTAGAGCCTCATCTTCACGATCGGCTCGTTCTTGGCGATGCATCGGCGTAGCTTGCAGTCCGGGTGCTGGCACATCTGAGTGTAGTGAGCTGAGATCGCCGGGCCCACGGGCATTGCCGTCGTCTCTATCTTCTTGGTCTCCGTCTCCTTCTTGATCTGGATAGTCGCTGCCGCCGTGCCGCGCTGCTCGATGATGTACGCGATGATCTTGTCGATCACCTCCTCCTTCTTGCCAGTCTGGGTCAGTCCCCACATCTTGCACAGCGGCTTGAGATGGTTGACCAACGTGACCATGCTGAGCTGCTCGTGGATCTGCTCCGAGCTCAGCGCTGCAAACGCATCCACCTCCGCAAACTTGGTCAAGAAATCTGACTTTGCGGTCTCGATGGTGGCTCGCAGCTCTTGATTCTGCTCGCGCGCGGCTGCTGAGGCTGCTGACTTCTGGGACAGGGGGCGCTGCTTCGGCTCCGTGCACGGCTGGCACGGCTCGATCTTCGCACGATGCTCGATGTCCGCCGGCCAGGTCGGGTACCTCTCGGGTAGCAACTGCACAGGTAGTCCGAGGCTGTCCAGCTTCCAGTTCACACGGTCGATCGTCTTGATGAAGACCTTCTGGATGATTCGTCCCCAGCGACGGCACTGCGTCCACTGCTGGAGGAGCTTGCTGGACCACATCTCCCAGTTCGGTAGGTGCTCCTGCAGGAAGGTGTCCGTCATCCGCTTCATGCTGTTGTCCTGCTCCGAGCCCTCGATCGTGTAGAAGATGTGGCCCCTCACGTCCTGATGAGCGATCAGTCGCCCCTGCGGCTGCATCCGTTGTAGTGTAGGCCGTGCCGGCGTCGACGTGGAGGTCGCCGCCGATGATCCCGAGTCCAGTAGCAGGGCCCGAACATCCACCTGCTCCCATGGGCCATCCATCTCCTCGTTCTCCAGCTTGATCTGCTGGCTCTCGGCTTTGCGACATTTCGCCTCGCGGTTGAGGCTCATGCGAATATGTAGGACCAACTGGATGTTGTCGGAGCTCAGGACTCGAATATGGAAGAGTTACTGGTTGCTGAAATCGGAGCTCTGAGCTCGAATCGTTCGCACCAAAAATGGCTCTTGGAGACGGGGATGTTTCTGTTTGGAGCTCTGGAAACTCTGGGATCTCAGGGAAGGCCTCTGGAGATAACTCCGATAATGCCGTAGGTGATGGAGCCGGGGCTGATACGGATGATGTCCCTGACGTAAGTGATGATGTCCCCGACGTAAGTGATGATGTCCCCGACGTAATTGATGATGTCCCCGTACTTGTAAATGATGATGATGTTGCGGTAGGCGTAATTGGTGATGGTGCCCCCGTACTCGTAAATGATAATGATGTACCTGAGGCCTGTAGGGCTCCATTATCTGGGACCTCGTCGGGAAACTCCTGGGGCACCACTGCAGACGGTTTATCGTTCTCGCTTTTGATCGGCTGCTCTTTTTTATGTTTTCCCTCCGGCACCGTAGCAGTCTCGGGTGTCGAGGGCGTGGACCCCTACTCGAGAGATGCCACGAAGCCAAAATCGGCTTGTCGAACAAGTGGCAGTGCAAGATGACCGCTCGGAAGGACGAGCAGTTCAGCTCGGCGCCCGAGCTTCTTGAAGTAGACAGAATGTGCCTCGCAGTCGATCACAGCTCCTAGGCGGCTCAAAACATCCACTCCGATCAAGAGCGGGGCATCTGCGTCGAGGATGTTTATCTCGAGCTCGCCGTCCACACCGGCGATCATCAGAGGAAAGGTTGCCTTGCCGGTGCAGGTCTTGGCGTTGCCATCTCCAAAGATAAAGGTACTCTTCTGGCTAACGTCCATCTTGATGTTTTTGCCCGTCTGCTCATAGATGATATCGCGTAGGTTCTCGGCAGCCTCGATGCCCATGATGCTGGAGGTCGCGCCGATGTCCAGAATACCGAAGCCCTTGGAGGAGCTCTGCTTCACACTCATGAGGATCCAGTCGTCTAGCTTCTCCAGGGTTGGCCAGCTCGGTAGTTTCACATGATGGACTTGCTCCCGCCTCTCGATGGATTTCTCCACCTCTAGGTACATCGTCTTCTCGAGCTGTTTCTTCGGAAGCTTCGGTCGATTCTTGATCACTGGCTTATTGTTGAGCGTCGTCTCCAGCTCCAGGCGCGAGGTCTCGTTCCTGATGAGATTCGCCTCCATCTCGGCGTCCTGCTCGGCGCCGAAGAACACGTAGGCTCCGAAACCTCGCTTAGGTCGTTCACGATCTTTGCTGCTGGTGGAGGAAGCGCGGTCTTTGTGATCCTTAGTCTCGTGATTGCCGCCGCACTTCAGACAGGGTCCCTTACGGGGCGGCCGGCCCTGGGAGCGTTCTCCATCACGTCGGGGTGGTACGTCGCGTCGTTGTCCGCTCCCTCGGCCTCGTCCTTTCGATGATCCAGAGCCTCGGGATCCAGCTCGAGGTCCCTGGAACTTGCGCTGTCCTCCGCGTCCTTCTCGCTTCTTGTTCTCATCCACGGGGTAGAACTTCCTGGCGGTCTTCACTCGTCGGAGTAGATCTCGAGCTTCTTCGAAACTGTGCTGCTGGGCGGCGAACGCGGTCTCGGCCTCCTCGATCTCCTGGGCGCTGTAGAGCGGCTCCTCAGGATCTCCTTCGTCCTCGTCGCCGTCCGCGTCCTCATAGGTGGCCTCCGACTGGTCGCCATCGTAGTAGCTGTAGTCGTCGTCGTCCTCGCTGTTCTCCTCCCAGCCGGCATGGATCCGACCTCGCTCGCGATGGCGATGGTTGTCCTTGCCGTGCTTCTTATCTCTGTTCGTCAGCTCGTCATCTGGCCAAGATACTCTTAGCTGCTCGCCGATGCTGTCGTAGTCGAAGTTGCCTTTGACTGCGCTGATAACTGCCGCACGCTCCGTCGGGGAAAGTCTTGATCTCTGCAGCAGTAGCCATCCGCGCAGCCGGTCAAGGGGAATCGCCTGTTTGAAGTCGGTTCCGAAATCCGGATGCTCGGGGATCTCCTCAAGACCTGTCCGGATGAAGTTCCAGAGCTGGTGGTTCAACTCCTTGGCCTTGTCGGCGGCGTCCTCCGGGCCCTCCTGCTCGATCTTGTACAAGAACCAGTTGAGCTCCGAGTAGAGGGTGTTCCATTCCTTTGACCTTGCCGACAGCCGAGCCGTGCGCTGCTTCTTGAAATACTCGGTGTCGAAACCCTTGACCACGTCGTGGTAGGCCTCATCGTTCTTGCTTATGTAGCTCGGCATTGGCTCTCCAGTGTCTCGACGAAGATCGAAGATCCATCGGGCCAGATATTTGCCTGCATCCTGGATGGGCTGAGCACCGAGCTTGGCACGAATGTGTCGCAGTAGCTCAGCTGCACCGTCGTCTCTCTCAATGCGGTCCCAGTCCACATCCTTGGCTGCTTGTCGTGCTCGACCTTCGAGCCGTCTCCACAAACGAGGGCCGCATACATATCGTTCATCTCGACGGGTTCCTCGGATGTAAGCTTTGACGTCTCTCTCGTAATCGTCCACCGTGGTGAGATCTCCGTTCCACTTCGGTATGATGTCATCGTTGTTATTGTTATTCCTCGTCATGACTCAAACGATGAACTTCTATCCGTGAATCTGTAATCCGTGGAGCTTGAGAGCTCCGCTACCATGCAATGGTCCCGCTTAGAACCACTGCCCTGATAGCAATCCTTGATGATGCTACTCTCTTCTCTGCTCTGACCACGTGTCGAGGGTACCGTTGGCGGTCGGGTCGAATATGAGGGCAGTGACTGTGCGATGCTGATCGCACTGTGGTGATGAACAGGATCTGTTTATCAGCGGGCAGTTCGCTGTCCTGCGTCTCTCGGACGCACACCAGAAGTCCAGCGTCGCTGAGACGCTGCAAAGGCTTGAGCCAGAACGGTTTCGGATGAACCTGTTCTGGGATATTCTAATGGGGATCTCGAGGGATCTCGGAGGGCCTACTAAGCAAGGCTAGCTGCAGTCTGGAGGCTAAAGGGGGCCCGATTCGCCGGGAAACGCTTGGCTAACATACATGGGGCTCCTTTGGAGCCTGAAGCATATATCACGCACGGCCTCTAGAGGCCATCTGTCGTAAGTAGGCTCTAGTGAGGCAGGCTCGGGGCTGTGAATTGCACCCTCTGCCCCTCTGGTGGCTCCTCGGCCCGCTTGCTCGCTCTGCGGCTTGCCTGCCGCCCGCCGCCCTCTCGCGCCTCTCGCGCCTCTCGCGCCTCTCGCCCTCCCGTCCGTTCGCGCCGCTCCGCGCCTCGCCGCCGCCGCGGCGGCGGCGGTCGGGCGACGCTCTGGCGCTGGAGCGCTCGTGGAGCGGGGTCGGAGGGGCTGGCCTGCGCGGCTGAACAGGGCTGTCCCCGACAGCGGTAGGGTGGGCCTCTGAGTGTCGGCAGTGGCAGGGCGGTGGCCGAATGTCGGGACGGGTTGGGGCCGCCTGCACGGGTGGACAACGCGTGCGCGAGGCGCAGAGGGCGGCATCGGAGAGGTAGGGCGGCGGCGCCGTCCCCCCGTGCCGTGCTGCTGGGGCCGCTGCCTGACCTGGAGGCTCATGGGACTGTTCGTCCCAGGGTGCACGCAGCGCAATCCACACGGTTGGCGTGTGAGGGCGTGCGAGCATAGCAGTCTCCAATATGCTCGGCGTGGCGATGCACGCCGAAGCTCGCGCACGGCACCGGTCGCCCCAACAGAGCGCTGCGCTGTCAGTTCTTCCTGTCGCGCGAATGGCGGGTCGCGACTTGGCTCGTCCGACTTGACAGGCGGATGGGCCGGCCTGCGCGAGTGGCATTCGCTCCCGGCTGTGGCTGTCACCGTACCGGCCGGTGGGGCAACCGCGGCTGTGCCGCCTGGCGGGCGCAGCAGAGGGCACATCGGCGAAGGGAGCAGGGCTCCGGCCGCAGGTTGGGTGTTGCCAGATGTGTTTCGAGCTCTTCGCGCCACCTTGGAGCCCCCGGGGCCCTCTGAGCCTCGCGAGGGGTGCTCTGGAGGCCGTCTGAGGCATCTGGGCCTCCCTGGAGCTCCTGGGGACACCCTGGGCCATGGGCTCCTGGGGCAACACCCGAGCAGGGGGAAGGCAGGGGGGGAGCGGCGGGGGAGCGGGCTTCCCTGCGCCGCGAGGATCGCCGCTCTCGGGCCGACGGGGCAGAAAAGGCTGGGGGCAACTCTCGATATCGACACCGCGGCAGTGTTGTAGCGGCTGGTTACGGGCCAGCACCTGGACGCATCCGCGGCCTCCCCTCCTGAGACGTAGGCGCGGTCTCCCCTCCTGAGACGTAGGGGGGTATCGGCGCCGTGGTCCTGGATGCACGTCGGCGTTCACTTCTTTGTCTGCCCACGTTGCGGTTCAGCTGCTCGGCCGACAAACTTGCCTGCAGCGTTCCCTCTAGCTAGGTCGCTGCTAAAATTTCTGGACTCGTGCTTGTTTCGCACTCGCGGCAGGTGGTTCGAAAAGCCAGCGCTGATTGGTGCCCTCCACTCTTGCAAGTCTTTCCGTTCGGTGACGACCACTGCTCTTTATTCATAAACGCCCCTCTCCCATTCGACCGACGACGAGCCAGGGTTATTGCGGGCCCCGAGTGCACATTGCGTTAAACTCTGGAGCATGTTCGGGCACACTGCGATCTTTCTGTATTCAAGACTCAAGAGGCATGCAGGTGGTTGTGCCCTGCTCCTCGCCTTGTCGACGCCGGTGTGCTGTTGTCTATACACTCATGCATGCGAGAGTTGAGCGTGCCGATCGCCGAGAATGCGGTGACATGAACCCGTCCGGCCAGTCGAGCACGTTCGTTTTTTGTTGTGGACGGGTATAGCCCCCATGAGGGGAAGCGGATTTGCCGTGGGTGGGGAACGAAAAACAAATACACTCCTGCATGCGATCTGCAGCCGAGGGGCCGTCCAGGCACGGTTCACTCGACCTGAAGAGGCATGCGCCATTCCGCCGGCCCCCACAGCAGTGAAATTCGTCAAGAGTCTGGGCCTCCGTGCCTGGCCTGTGGGCCAGGAGCCTCGAGAATGCTCCGGGGGGCCTCTTGGAGGGCTCTTGGGGGTATCCGATTGGCTGTTCGGGGCCTCTTGGTAGCCTCTTGGTTGTCTCTAGGAAGCTTCTTGGGGCCTCCTGGAGGCTCCTCTGGGGTCAATGGGCGGCTCTTGGGGCCATCACAGCGGGAATATTCGAGATGTCAATTCGTATTGCCCCTGCTGGGCCCCTCTTGAGGCCCTCCTGGGCCGGCTTAGGGCCCCTGGGGCTGTCTTCGGGCCTTTTGGGTCCTCTTGGGCTTTCTTGGGGCCCTGTCGGGCCGTCTTGGGGCCCTCTTGAAGGCCTCTTGGGCCGTCTTGGGACGATTTTTCCCAACCATCCTGTGGTGTTGGGTCCTCGTTTTGAAGAGACAGCGCCCCGCGTCCCCTCCTCCTTCCTTCCTCCTTCCTCCCGCTGCCTCCTCCCCCTCCTCCTCCTCCCTCCTCCTACCATCATCATCGTCATCATCATCATCGTCGTCATCACCCATTTCGGCACACCCCTCACACGTTTCGTGGCCCCATAGGGAGCTCCGCCGAAGGTCCCAGTGGGTGTGCCCGCATGCGTCCCGCACACCCATTTCGGCACACCTCTCACACGTTTCGTGGCCCCATAGGGAGCTTCCCACCGATGGTCCCAGTGGGTGTGCCCGCATGCGTCTCGCACACCCATTTCGGCACACCCCTCACACGTTTCGTGGCCCCATAGGGAGCTCCACCGAAGGTCCTTGTGGGTGTGCCCGCATGCGTCCCGCACACCTATTTCGGCACACCCCTCATACGTTTCGTGGCCCCCCAGAGGGAGCTTCCGCCGGAAGGTCCCAGTGGGTGTACCCGCATGCGTCCCGCACACCCATGTCGGCACACCCCTCACACGTTTCGTGGCCCCATAGGGAGCTCCGCCGCAGACCCATTTCGGCACACCCCTTCACTCGTCTCGTGGCCCCATAAGGAGCTCCGCCGAAAGTCCCAGTGGGTGTGCCCGCATGCGTCTCGCACACCCATTTCGGCACACCCCTCACACGTTTCGTGGCCCCATAGGGAGCTTTCTTGCGTTTTTTTTTTATTTGTTATTATTTTCGATCTTTTTTTTCTCTATTGGTTTTTGTACTTTTTCTTCTTTGTTTTTCTTCTTTTCTTGTTTTTTTTTTATTTATTTTTTTTCTCTTTTTGTTCTCCTGTTCTTTCTTTTTTTCCACCGGAAGGTCCTTGTGGG